AGCGTTCAACGTTGATTCAATGTTTCTGGCTGACATTGATTCAATGTTGTTTCAATCATTCTGTGCTATCTGGGTATTAGTTCCACCCAGAGTGTGAGACTGTGGGCCAAGAGGAAGGCGGAAGGTGAAGCAATCTGTCAACATTATTATCCAGGACAAGACAGCAAATATCCTGAAGCTCAACGGGAGAATAACCAAAAAAATTACAAACTGCTAAATAAATGCCTCATGTAGCACAAACTTGGACTGCAGGACAAAACCAGGCGGAAACAAGCCTTTGAATCGCAATTCAAAGGCTTGGCAAAGTGAATTACTACGAGGACTAAAGGAAAGCACAGAGATACAAAATCATGGCACTACAGGAACAAATACTCAACACAAGAGCAATAGAGGTCTGTTCGGGACAACGATGCTTCTGACACAGTCCAACACATAATAAGCAACCAGACATAGTGGAAGAAAAAATGAGCAGATCTGATAACCATAGTGGTCTCAAGGGACAACCTCAAGAAGAAGAAACATGAGAGTAATACCAAATGGCTCAAAAAGGAAATGGAGAAGATGTGGAGAGTCAAGGCCTCAGTGGTCAACAGCGTGTTTCAGGCTGTGACCTTGAACCCTGGTGAGGGACTGCAGCAGATTCCTGGAGCAACCTCTGAAACCTGATTCTAGAAGAGCACAGTCCTGGGAATAGCTAAGAAACTGCCCCGAAAAGTGACACATTTAAATGTATTCACATTCTTATCAGGGTCCCATAAAAGAAATATGATTCCTTTGTGATGCAAAGTAAAAGGAAAATAAAACACCTGCAGCTCACTGTCACACCTGGATAGAAAAACAAGCAATGGAATACCTTCAGACATAGACTGGCCTCCCCAGGTCAGGCACTGCCAAAACAGCTTGGACACCATGGGAGCAGGTTTGGAAAAACAAAACAGTTCTTGGTGGAATTTGTTGCTGCTAAAAAACTGGATATAACACCAGACCTGGTCCAGAACGTTCCTTTCAATATGTACAACACAAAATGAATGACTCAACTGAGGTAAATCTGCTTGGAACAGTCCTGATTTAATCAAATTAAAAAAAAAAGATACAAAATCAAAAAAAGAAAAAAAATCAATTAAAAGACTTTATTGTTATCAAGTGTAACATTTGCTTTCAACATCTCATGCATATACATCATTCCTTAGTTTTAACTTTATAAAATGCTGTTAAAACCAGATCATGTGGGCTTCAAAGTAAATATTTAGATGCATATTAACTAAAGTCAGTTCAAAATAATATAGTGACCCAGTGCATACATTTTGGAATAAAAGATTTTATATGAATTGTGCAACCAGTAAAGTGATGAAGTGAGAAAAAATGTCTTCAAGAAAAACAACAAAGCATTGCTTGATGTGAAGTTTTGTGGCATTCCACATGGTGGAGACAAAGATCCAAACTAAATCTTCGACAAATGATTGACAGTTTGATGCTGATTAAAATTGTCTTCATCAGCTATTGTGTAATTATGTGTAACAGCGTTGGTTTGGCATAAACCAGTAACTTAGATTGTAATGTTTCTAAAGAAAATCCATCAGCTCTCTCATGACTATCTGACTGCCATCTGGATATTCGATTATGCAACACTGGTATTTCCTGTTGACTAACACTGGAATTATGATATCACTGAATTGTTAACATAATTGTTTGATAAAAAAAAAATTTCTTGACCAATGAAGCAGATGTGTAACAGTAAGAGAGTATGAGTTAGAGATGGAGAAAATAAAACATGAAAGGACAGGAAGTTCTAAACATTAACAGAAGAAACCAGTCGCAAACAGTAGGCAGCCTCAACAGGAATGTCTCTGGCGCTGATTTTGTTGGCATCCAAACGCAGCACTCTCAGCCTGGAGAAGTTTGTTCCGTCGATTGTGTCACAGAAACTGCTCAGGGAAAACTCTGAAAGGGAAGAGAAATGTGGAAACAGGTTATAAACATGAACACATCAAAATAACTGCCAAACAAACCACAAGAAAATTGGAATTGGAATCAGAAACACTTAAAAAAAAAAAAAATCAAGAAAACATGTTATTTCCTGCACCTGGTGGATTATGCCTTGCTTCAAGGACTGCGTTTGGGTTGCATTCCTGTATTCATGCCAAATACGCAGGCGTATAAATAAAATTATCTCCATAATTCAGAATAGATCAGTTTGACCCAGTCAGGTCCATACTGGTTTGGCTTAGTTGCCTCTACATCATTATTTATTGTGCTTGCTGAATGTGGCTTGCTTTGAGGATGTTGCCAGATTAAAGTGATAAAATACAGAAATGCAATAAATGGCCCTGTTGTTTTTCAGCATGTAGAATCACATTTTGATACCACTCCAATAAATATTACAGACATGTTTTATAAATAGTACCGCATGACTTGGTCATTGTCAGTTTTATGATCTGTAGCTTTTTTTATGTTTTTTGGCTTTATGATTTGATTGTGTTTGACTCTGTTGCAAACAACAATTACAGACCCCAGGGATTGGAAGGTAAATGGTTTAATGAAGAGAAGAAATGTTTGAAAGACTTGTCTGCAAGAGGGAAAATACGAAGTCATGATCTGTTCTACACTGGACGACAGAGAGGTTGTTAGTGGGTGTGATCAACTGGTTTTGCAGAAGAAGGAATCAGGGTCTGCACAGTGGCACAGTTAGTAGAGCTGTTGCCTTGCAGCAAGAACGTTCTAGGTTTGATTCCTGGCCCCGGTCTTTCTGCATGGAGTTTGCATGTTCTCCTTGTGCATGAGTGGGTTTTCTCTGGTTTCCTCCTACAGTCCAAAAACATGACTGTCAGGTTAATTGACCTCTCCAAATTGTCCCTTGGAGAGAGTGTGTGCAGGGTTGTTTGTCCTGTGTGTCTCTGTGTTGCCCTGTGACAGACTGGTGACCTGTCCAGAGTTACCCCACCTCTCGCCTGGAACGTTAGCTGGAGTTATCACAAGTAGTAGTTAACCATCTGGTTTCTGTCTCTGAGAAGCCACTCCTCTAAGTACTACTCCTTGATGACAGTAATGCACGCCACCTGGAAGCTACACCTGCCGATCACACCCTGGAAAGGAGGAGGAGAGAGCAGAAACCCAACAAGCAGCACACCAGTCTGCAAATACAATAATTTATATTGTTTGATTGTTTGAAATCTTAATTTGCTGCACCAATTAGGTAACGTCGATGTGGCTGTGGACAGCCACATCGACGTCTGCAGCCACATCGACATAAGAACGCCTCTTGTTCTTTTCATCTGACTGACTTAATTAGCCGTCACCTTCATAACAACATGTTGGGGACTTTCCACATAAAATGTGTGTTAACTGACAAAAACAGCATATACATAAAGCTCACTTTTAAATTGAACCGATTTTGACCAGTATCCTAAGCAGTACATTTTTGCTTAAATGGCATTACCCTCTGAGATTGTTCGTAAAAAAATAAGCCAACTTTCACTTTCAAAATTTAGCACTTAACATACATAATTCGAGTGAAGCAGGTAGAATAACAGGTGATTGTTCTGCTTTCACAGTCTCTGATGTGAAAAGATCCCAGATAAAGAAATGAAATGTCATACTGCAAAACTTTTATCTGCTCGTTGACCGCATGTTCTGACCACCAACTCGGGATTTAATGAGGATTTGGCAACATCAAACGCTCACATTGTCAAAGTTTTATATGCAACAGTGACATAAAATCATACAACATGCTACATTTTGATATATTACAACTAAGTTTTCTCTAAAGGATGACATACCAGTCTCCTCTCCTGTCAGCCAGTGCATTGTGCTTTCAGAATGTAAACAAAAAGATTTAATTGCTCTATTTGCAAATCTTATTGGTTTTTGAACTTTAAACTGGAACGTGGCTAAATTGAATTTCAATTTTGTGCAAAGCACTTTGAATTGACTTTTGTCTGAGTTCTGTGATATATATACACAATTCTGCAATTTGCACAGCAAGTTCTCAAAATATCTGCAGCATTTCTCCTTATAAAAAGCAAAGATCAATGAGCTTGACACAAAATATTATTGGGTGTTGCTGCTTTTTAGCTCTATATCACAATTAATGAGTTTAAATTGGGTCATTGCCATGTGTTAAATTGGGTCATTTTCATGGTATGTGATTTTCTGGATCACATACCAGTTCTCAAACTGGTAAGTGATTCAGTGTGAGAACTGACCTCTAGGTGAGCCTTCACACCTGCTCTTATTTTCTCATTCTATTGAAAACTGTTATTCACTTATATGGGAAGGGTTATGGTTTCTGATCTGCTTTTATGCAGCATAAAAGTATTATCGTTCTTTAAATATTTGACAGTGTGTTATTCGGTAAACAATAATAACTTTGTGTACATGCAGTGGCGCAACTACACATTATTCAAGTGGATGCAAAAACATAAATCGGCCCCCCGACGATACGTCAAGTGTAAAAATCACTACATTTACCTCATTATGTGCGAGAGGTGAAGGAGCGTGAGGCGCGCTGAAGTGTATGGGAAAACATAATCGAACAACATCAGACATCTCAGTCCAGAAATGTGCAGTTCTAGGCACAGCCAAGATACTGCGCAGAACCCTCAAGCTCCCAGGCCTCTGGTAGAGGACCCGAGCTCAGAGGATGAAAGAGACCACCCGCGGAGGGTGAGAGGGGAATTATATATATATCTATAGATATATATACACACACAACTCTTACATACTGCTGCTTTATGCCTGTGATACATTCATGTTTATAGTTCTGTGATTGTCAGCTATTGTTTCTCATTGTAGATCTTAGCTCGTGCTTTATTTGGGAAGACCATCTTCATTAGTGTTCTACGTATCTGCTGTTTTCTCTGTCACTTTTGTTTCTGGGGTTCTTTGTTATCATTCGTCTTCATCTTTTGAGTAACTTTAAATGTTATGCTATGTTTTTGTTTGAACAGTATTTAGGCTTCTCTCCAGTCATTTTCTCTTTTTTGATCCCCTCTGTTCCTGTGACCTGTTTTCTTTCAGCTGTTTTTACTGTTTAAACTTGTCTGGCCTGTTTTTGATTCCAGTAAGCACTTTCCTCCATATTAATCTCGTTCTAGTTCTGTGACTCTCTGAAATTTCTGACTTTGAGTTTTGTTACTGATCTAATATTTTTGCATTTATGCTTCTGTGCCTGCACTCTGGTCTCTATATACACAGCTACTGATAACACCCCATTAGCGCTAGATCTGGTTGGTGGAAAAACTCCCACAATCTTTGCTGACTCATTTCCAGCTCTGCACCAAGATGCATTGTTAGATCTGAGTTTTCATGGAGAAACATTTTGGCTGCAGCTCTCCTACTCTTTCCCATTCCACCTCTTGCCCGGCACCTTTTGTCTTTAACCCAAAGTTTCTAATGAATAGGCTGTCCCAGTTATATTTGAGGAGGGTAGGGCCAGTGGGAATGGATTTACAGTCCTTGAAAAAGAACATGTCATGTTGTATTTTTGTTGAATGCATCCAAATGCAGCAGGCAGTAGCGTCAAATTTAGTGGAAAAAAAAGTAAACAAGCTTTCAAAAAAATCACAGGGAGTAGGAACTGTTTGAGGAAGCATAATAGGTCACCTTTAACAAATTGTCTCTGGTTAAAAAGTGACTACACATATTAATATAAATAAAATTAACACTAGTGTCATTAAAATTGTCAATAAAACTTTTGTTTCACTTTGTTACTTTGAGATTTAAAGAAGTGTACGTACCTTTGATCTTATTGGCGTGCAGGTACAGGTTTTCCAGGTTCCTGCTAACAAGTGGGATCTTCTCCAGTTGGTTGAAGGACAGGTCAAGCTCAACGAGTGTGCTGGTGTTGAAGACATTGGAGGGAAGTCCTTCATCAGTCAAACTGTTGTGACTCAAGCGGATAAATTGTAGTTTGGGATACATGGTAAGAAAACCAACTGGGACACTCTTTATGTTGTTATGGTCCAGGTAGAGCTGTTGTAGTTCTTTGGGAAAGTTGTCAGGAATTTTCATCAGCTTGTTTTTGCTCATGTCCAGCATCATAAGAGATTTTAGCCCCGTTAACCCACCGTCTACCTCTTCTATGTCATTTCCCTGAAGTTGAAGGGTGGTGAGGTTGGACATGGACTCAAATAAGTTGGAGGAGATGTTTGTGATTTTGTTGTAGGAAAGTCGCAGGTCAGTGAGGGATCTTGGTAAGTTACGAGGCACATGGGTCAGTTCATTGTTATCCAGGTAGAGTCGAACCAGGCTTCCCAGCTCGACAAAGACACTGTCGCTGATTTTCTCCGAGCTGAGCTGGTTATGCGACAAAATCACCCACACCAGGTTGGGGGCGTTGTCGAACACTCCATCCTGAATGCCTGTGATTTGGTTACGCTGCAGGTAGACATACTTTATGTGTGATGGGACATAGGGAATGTGCTGCAGGTTGCGGCTGTGACAGTACATAGCTGTGGGGTAGGCTGCTGGACAATCACACTCCAGGGGGCAATCGAGAGCCTCAGACTGCCAGCCTGCCAGCCGGCCTCGCAGTTGGGACAGCCACTGGAAGGGGCTGTATTCCTGGCTGACGTTCACATCCACCATTTCCATCAAGAGGATGAACACCAATGCTCGCATGATCACTTAAGGAAAGGTAAAGAATATTTTAAAGATAAATACATACGATTCATTCCAATGTTGCTGCAGTATACCTACCAGTTTCTTGCTGCCTCCCTGTTATCCACCTCTCTGGTATCCCAGTGTGAATGAGTGGAATATGTTGCCTGCCTAAAATAAATACCACCAGCCACCCCCTTTGCAGCTGTGGCCCCAACCATTTTGTTTCATTACTACACATACCTTTGTTCCGCTTTCATGTAACCTGCATAACAACCTATACCCTGCAGCAACGTAAATATTAGTACCATCTGTGAGCTGGTTGCGACATCTGCTTTTCAACCTCCTTGTTTTCCATCACAGTTTCAAACCTTATTATTAGCCGAGCAACTCAAAGTATGTCTTGTCATTTACTCTTGTGTCATAGAGGTTATAAAGAGGTTGGGGCCTCAGATATTGAATGTTTAATCAACCACAAAAGATCTGATAATCATAGCTATCATTTAAAATACAATCACATTGTTTCTGCTTGCTTTTGTACACTATAACTGGTATGTGTCAACAAAGTATTCTAAATCTTGCTGTTTGTCCAAGAACATCACCATTACTTATTTCTTCTGAATGCTTCAAGGTCTGTTTTCAACAAGTACAGTATTCAAGTCATGGAGAAGTTCAGCATATGCTTTTGCTGGCGCCCGGATACATCAGAGAACCATTGGAGTCCTGTAAACTGCGATTCAGAAGAAAAAAAATAAAAACTACTTATATCCTCCTCTGGGGTAGGAAAATTGGATGCAGAGTTCAAGTGATTATGTGAATTCTTTGTGTATCTCCTTCCAGGCCACACTGAGGAAGCGAAGACGATATGCTGATTTAAGAATCAGCTTTGTTAAAAAGGTAATGGATCTTAATTAGCTTTAAATTACAACGAAAACAGAAAAATTCCCTCAATTTCATTTAAGCTGTCAGAATACTATGCCATGCCAGTTTGTGTCATTATTTGTTTGCCCGACAACACTTGCCAACTGTATGCTTTGGCACATGCTAGCCTGTGGGCAGGAAATGTTCGAAGAAAAGCAATTATTTTTCTCATTAATTTGGGAAAGATTATGAATCAATTTTCAAACACTTCAGGGCCCATCATTCTACACTAATGAAAGCATATTTACAAAGAAACAAGAGCATGTCAAACTACATATTCCAAAACATACACTTTTAAGATGGCTGTCATTATCTTTTGTATAGCTTTTGGTGAAGATATAAATTTAAAACGTTGAGGTTTTATTTTGAAGGCAGGTTTTTTTTTTTCCCCTCATATGACTTCCTGAAAATTTTAAGCATTTAAACAGGGAATAAATAATAATATTATAATTGAAGTGTGTCACAGTTAGGAAAGCACCCTACAGGTCTGGGCTAGTTGGGCTAACAGTAATGAGCTGTAAAACACGCTCTATATGGTCCAAGATGCAGTTATAAAGGAGATTTAAAAGAGAAGTTTTTATGCTTGGGAACAATGCTTTAGGCTTAGAAGCATCGACTATATTATATGAGCATCGACAAACAGGATTAAAGAAAGTAATTTTACTGTTGTGTTTTTGGAGTTGATAGAAATTATGGCATAGATTTTTGTGTTAGACAGTGACAATGCCTCATAATGTTGATTGCCACTGACTGTTAAACAAGAAGCATACAATAATAGAAACCAGAATCAAGTTACGGGGTCTTATCCAAATGTTCATGCAGACTGAAAAAGCAATAAAGCAGGCTTTTGTGTTTTTAGTTGTCAAGTTGACTTAAATATGGAGATAGGGTAGAAATGACTTAAGCCATTTGGTGTCACTCGTTCAATGCTTTGGGTGAGGATATTAAAACCGAGTGAAACAGTCACTTTGACTAACTGAAGTATAAAGTCTTTTAGGGACAAGCCTAAGTAAAATCTTTAAAAGGACAAGGTCAAGTGGTAAACCACTGAAATTAACTTTCTCACATTAGATATTTGCCTCCTATCTGCCTAATACATTTTATTGTTAAAATTTGAATTTAAATTACAATCTTTGAGGCTAATTGAACCCAGGAAGAACATTTAGAATCATTATCTTTTTCTTACAACATTCAGTTTAACAAAGTCAGTTTTAACAGCTTGATGTAACTTATTTTAAAAATTAATAAGGAAGCCTACAATATTTACCTACCTAAAATCATAAAAATGTATATGTTCAAAGTGGGTTAACATTAGTTGACATCAAATCGCTTGGTACATTAAACTTTGCAACAACAAAAACGTTAATGCTATCCACCCAGCCAGCATGCCTAGGTGGGCCCCATGTGGGGACAAGGAGGGCAGACTATATGGGTCCCACCTAGGCATGCTGGCTGGGCATTAACAGCTGCTGGTT